GAGATGAACTGTTTGCTTTCATAAATGAAACCTTTATCAAACACCTCAAAGAGCTGGATGAAAATGACCAACAGAGTTTTATCGATTCATTTCTGATTCGGCAGCAGGAGGTAACGGAGTCTTTTACATACCCTTGCAATTCTGAAATAGTCACATAACGTCTTTACCGTGTGCACATGTATGATACTCTTGCAGCTGGCAGGAAACCTTGAGAAAAGATAAATGCAACATCCCACAGCAGTTTCCAAATATTTGCAAGCATTAATATCTACTTTCTTCTGCAGGAGAAAAATTGCATGTACTTTCTAAGTAAATCTCCTGAATATTTTCTGATATGTAATTAGTACTCCTACCTGAAATTAGAGGATTTTCCTAATTAGTGACATCCCATCCCTGTGAGTGCTAAGTATCCCCCAGCTTTCTGCAATTTACTGAAATGTCTCCACAGGAGATGTTTGCACATTGTTTGTTTTTACCAGTCCTTTCCCTTACACCCTAGGAGGAAAAGAGCACGAGTACTGGCTTCTTCCATAAGGAAAACCTAAGAGCTGTTGTGGCTAACTTATTTGCTGCTGGCACGGAGACCACGTCAAGCACTCTGCACTGGGGCATATTGCTCATGATGAAGTACCCTGACATTCAGAGTGAGTACTTCTGTGGGTCTGGCTCCTTTTCTGTCCCTTTCAGGACTTAAGGATTAAACTACAGAATGAAAGAAAAACTAGGACATTGTCAAGGTAAGGAGTGTGAGTGAATGAACCACACCTCCTGGCATGGAGGCATCCGTGAGGGTCAGAAAGAGAGTTTATCCATGCACACATGCACACGCCCCACAGTCAATTTTGTACTGTTGTGTCCTTGGCCACCATCAGAACATGGGTATACATCCAGGAGTATACCAAAACCCTGGATCTGAGTCTTCAGGGTTAGTGCATTATGACAGGCTACCGTGGAAGTCCAGGGCCAGCCAGCACCAGATCTCTGCAGCGAAGACAGATGGCTTGACAGTCATGTATTCACAGACTCCTGATGAAAATATGTTCCAGTTTTTCTCATGAAAATCATGATGCGCTCTAATGAATCTTCACTGCACCAATTTACTCACTATTATAGTAAAGGGGAAGGAGATGGGTTGGACATATGCCGATCTGATAATATCATTATGGCTACCTTTCCGCTTGTAAAACTTGAGGACAGGGAGAAACTGGTTGTGTAAATGAAGTCCACCACTTGCTCTTCCAATCCGTGTCCTCTGAAGCTTGGAAATTCAGTCAGAGCTGGGCTAGGGATTTGGACTTCCAGCTGATTGCTGCATCCTTGAGAAAAGGCATGACCCCTGCTAGCTTCAAGGGAGTAATGATAAGATTTAGTGGAAAAAAGGTAATACAGACCCACCAATTTGGACAGTTACCTCCCAGGTCCAAAGCTGGCATTTAAAGCTAAGATGTTAGAGTGCGTGGTAGTCTCTCAGCTCCAGGTATTACTGGAGAAGTCTGATTACTTGGATCTGCTCCAATCCACGTTTCAAGGCATGAATCACTTGATCGAGGTTTGTATACATTATTGGCAGCCACATAGGATCATACCCTAGTTCCTCTGAGAGGTCATAGTCATTCAATTCATATCAATTCTTAGATATATATGACATGGTGAAATAACGCACAGTCTAGATACTGTTTCTTTATTGACTTGAGTATTTCTATGTTGTTCCATACATACTTGAAGGAGTTAAGTTTCTTTCATGTTTTCCTGCTAATTAATGAGAATATGGTTTGTTTTGTTACTTTTCTCAAGATACTCAAGCAGGATTTCACATGTTGTATATTTCTACATTGATTTAATTCCCCTAAAGCTTCAGGATTCTGTATGTGCACCAGGAGTATCCTTCTGAATGGTTTCTCTGGTCTGGGCCTGAAAGGCATGCAGCTCTCCCTGCAGAAGGTCCCAGAATATGGTGCTTGGAGGACTTCTGCTCCACCACACGGCCACTGGCCTATGGCAGGCTTCCCCAACCTTGTGCCTCACAGGCATGTTTGGGCTGCAACGTCCA